TGTTATGTTACATAAGTCAAAGGGTGGGTACTTGTTATGATTTTTAAGAGCGCAAGTGTACGCCATAGTTGTCAAGTAATAAAAAAAAATCTCTGAGTTTAGAGTATTGTCCCACGAGGACTGATCGTTATTAAATACTGAAATTATATTAATCCTAAATTTTATTTGAATAACCAAAATAGGAGATGTGACGAAACTAAAATGAAAGAAATTAAAGAAAACACAACGCACTAATAAAATAGAAGAAAATCAATAATGAAATGACTTTAGGGTTTTTGATTTTATCAGGACCAATCAAATTCAAATTCAAATTCCCAATTCCTAATCAATCAATATCTATTCCTACGCTGACAGTGAATTTCACGAAATTTATTATTAATCTTTCTTAAGCATTAATAATCATACTCCAATCATGCAGATCTCACATCTCCATTAAGATTTTAATATGTTGAAATGCATTAAGAATAAGATATTCTCAAATTCAAATTCAAATTCCCAAATTCCCAATCGCGGCCTTGATTGTTGGGCGCGGCGGCACTAGACTTGGTCCAGACCTCTTCAACACACCAGTGCCGCGACGTTCTTCAACTCGGCTTTCTAGCGCCGCGGCCTTAATCGCCAGTGCTGCGGCGCTCACAATTTCTAGATGTGATCATTTTATACTCTTTTTGTCTCCAATTTATTCCAAATCAATTTAGATGCTATCTCCTACCAACCCTATAAAAGAAAGACAGAAACAAACGTCAATCCAATACTAAAGAGTCGAAAACCATCAAAAAGCTAAGATTTAAACATCAAATTTGCGAGTATAAACTCACTCATCAGTAGTCACCAAAAAAGTTAAAGGGTGGGTTCATTGACCCACATTTTATTCTTTCCACATCTTTTTTTAAATAAATTATTTTACTACTAAATTGTCCACTAGTAAACTTACTTGACACTACAAGAAAATGTCAATTTAGTGACGACACTTTTAGGAATGAGATATTGTCGCTTAAAGGTAACCTACAGCAATGATAAGTCGTCGCTAAAGGGAGCCGTTGCTGAGGCCCCATAAGGATCTATAATTGACATGCAAGGCTTACTTTTAAGGATTACAAGTCATCCAGCAAAATATATTTGGGATGAATTATTTTGGCGCTCCAAAATGACTTTTAGTGACGACTCGTTTGTCACTAAAAGTCTAGAACGAAATTTACGCGGCAAAAAAAGACTTGTTTAGCACCTAAAAACTTTTTGGTGCTCAAAGTGACTTTTATCAATGACACATGTCATCGGTAAACGTTTTTTTAAATTTGGTTAAAAATTAAGCAACAAATTTTTGGGGTGCTCTTATTTTTATTGGCATCGTCGCTAAAAGTTTTATTTTAAATTAACCTTAGACCCATTCGAGAATCAGTGTGTGGCTCACCGATTTTTTAATTAACCCGTTTAGACAGTTTGAGATTGTAATTTATAAGGGTGTTCCCAGAATCTGTCAATTTGATTAATTTGTCAAATCTAATAAAAGCTAGAGTTTTGGGATGGATTGAAAAAGTTTTAGATTAGACACGGATTGGTAAAATCCCAATCCGAAAGTTTTGGATTGGGTTGCGAATTGAACACTTTTTAATCCACAAAATTTGCCAATCTGAAACCTATTATATATATAATTTATATATATTTAAGTATTAATTTTTTTTCAATTTGTAATTAGTGGCCTATATTCCTACTTAAAATTTACAAAGCCCAACTCATTGTTAATTGGGTTGTAAAAATTTAGACTTGGTTGATCAACTTTATGTTATGTTTATTTGAATTACGGATGTTGCAAACATTGAGTTGTGATAAATGATAAAAATTTCATATTGTGTTTTATTTTGTATGAATGTTTAATACTTAATAATTTTAAAGGTCGTAATCTGTGAAATCCGTGAATCCAATCCACAAAATCTGAAAGGTTTTGGTGGATTAGATTCAATTTGAAAGAGGTTTTGGATTGGACAAGGAATGAGATTTTTCCAATTTGAAGATTTTAAATCGAATTGCAATTTGACACCTAATCCGTGAATTCCAATCTGTGAACACCTCTAATTTATGTGTTCGTTATTTATTTCCACTTACACCTTGTAATAGAGGTTTTAGTTGTCTTCTTTCGTTCTTCGGGTGTGCGACATTAACTACTTAGGAGAATTGAGAGGATATGCTGCGTGAAATGTCTTTTATTTTAATTTATTATTAGACCTTATGTACTTTTTTAAATTTTGTATTAAGTTATTTCACCTATTTAAATACACATAAAACTAATTTAAAACAAATTAAATTCAAATTTTAAAAAACTTTTATACAAAATTCTAATAAGTTTTTAGCAATAGCTGTAGCTGTAAACTTTTTAAAATTTAAAAGTTTTAAAACTTTTAGCGGACATTTTTGAATATGTCGTCCCTAAAAGTTTTGATGACATCATTCTCCTCATCTTCGTTCGTACAACCTCTAACAACGATGAGTTGTTGCTAAAAGTTTTTGAGCGATAAACTTTTAACCACGACTATTTAATGACAACATATCGTTGCCATATTAATTATAGCGACGACATTCCGGTTGTTACCAACAATTTAAAGGCCTCGTTTCTTGTAGTGTTCTTAGGACAAGAGTATTGCAAAACAAAAATTCACCACAAGATTCTTTCTTGAAAGGGAAATTTCATTTATATGAAGATTCTCACCACAAGATTCTTATTTCTTATGTACGAAATCTTTTTCCTTTTTTTTTTTTGTTTTGGTCTTTTTATAAGAACTCTTATACAAATTGTTTGTGATTCACTGATTTGTTCTTGCGATTATTTTTTCTAAGGTAACTTTTTCCGTTTACGATTCTCATAAGATAAATCCTATATACAAATAGTTTACATAGTTATCAGTTTATACACACACACACACACACACACACACACACACTACTTTAGAAAGAAAACAGAATCAATTTATAGACTACTCTTATTAAAATTCTTTTTTTTTATGATTTTTCTTTTTGGTTTTCGATAATGAAGCATTCTTGTATCTATTCATGTATCAAGATAACAGCTGGAAGATATAATCTAGAAGATAAAGTATTGACAAGATTACAATAACACAAATACATTGTGTTTTAAAACATATATGTTTATTGTTAGGTTTTTAGTTGACAACTTTTGCCAGCGTTTCTGTTTAAGAAAATTCAAAAAATCAGGTTTGAGAAGATGGCGACGTGCAAGTTTATCATATCAGAGCATTTAGATTTCAAGATGAAGAGATGAGTTCTTAATAAGATAAGTTGCTGAAAAGATAAAAACAGAGAGTCAAAGCTTTAAAGAAGATTGATGAGATAATGCTAGTTTAAATTGAATTCTAATTCAATTTTAAAATAGGATTAGGTTTCTACAAGATAAAAATACCAGATTGTGCGTTTTAGATAAGAGATAATCTGCAAAAGGCTTTTTGTGAAGATAGAGCAGGAAGTGTTGCAACAACTCAGTGAAACAGATTGTGCGACAGTTTAAATATTGAATAAATTTAGAGATAAAACTCAACTACTCTACAAATGGAACTCAAGGCCATTCATTCTGTGAGCTTCTTGGATTTTCAAGTAAGTATTGAAGGGATTTCAATGTCTGGACGTGACCCTGTAGATGTAGGTTTTTAACCGAACTACGATAAAATTTCCATGTGTCTATTTATTTACTGCTTTTATAGTTTATTAATTTAGCTTGGTAAAATAATTGGCAGAAACAAATCTTTCATTTATATTTTTTTTGGGATGCATATATCTTTTTAATTTTTATGAGAAAAAAATGTAGGGGAAAACAAAAGGTGAAAAAGGAAAAACGTTATAAAAAATGGTAGATTTGATTGGTTGGTAGGTGCAAAAATGCAGAAGCAATATAATTTAGTTGTAGGGACTTTTTTTTTTATTTTAAATAAGAGGGGTGTAAAAGTAATAGTTCAAATTTAAAATTTAATTAATATAGGTAGTTTGGTTTAAAGTTCAAACTAGATGACTTCGAATTAAAATTTAATTTTTTTTTTAGAAAAAATGCTATAACAAAACTATTTGAACTGGAATTTAAACTTATATACTAAACCTGCTCTCAATAATTTAAGAAAGAGTGAGAAAAACAGAATGTTACTTATACATTATAAAATAATATTTGGAACTAAATAAAAATTAAAAAAACTCTCTCTTTAATACCTGAATAAGTAAGTTGTTAAAACTCTACAAGTTCAAGAGGCAAAGGCTTGAAAATTTAAGCTGGGCGGTTTAAGAAAGAGTTTGAGAAAAGTAGAATGAGGGTTCGCAAAGGCTTGAGAAAAAGTTTTTTTTTTTTCTTTAGTTTATTTATATTTTTTAAATAATATAGAAAATGAAATAAAATTAAAAAATTTCTCTATGGTACCTTATTCAGAGAGCAAGTTACCAAGTTCAAGTGGACAAATGCATAAAATACCTATTCAATTACTTCAAAAAAAAAAAAAAAAAACCATTCAATAATAACTGCTAATAAGAATTGTGAAGTTATTTAATTTTAGTTAGAACTTGACAGAAGGACTGTAACTGTTTTTATCATAGGTTTTTTTCTTTAACGACTTTTTTTTTTGTTTTTCAAATCGTTAACTATTTGGAGATAATTCTCAAAAAAAAAAAAGGATAATTCTCAGAGAAAAAACACCACGAGATAACTCCTTTGAAAAATTGCTTCAAGATAGAAAAGCAAAACAGATATTATTCTGTTATTTTTATATTAAATTACGAGATAATTTTTCTGATTGACAGTTAAAAAAAAAAAAAAACATGCAATCAAAACGAAGATGAACGACAAGTGGGAACAAGAGTGAAAAAGAGTATGACTCTATTGAAGCAGCAAGCATATAAATTGAGAAAATCTTGTTCATGTTAGATTCGTCTGCCATAACCATTCCTCCATAAAAACCTTTTTCCTTCCGCGCCAAATCTCTCTCTCTCACGACTTCTTTCTTCTCAACAATATGGACACTCCGCCGGAGCCAAATCATACCCCACCACCACCACCACCACCGTCATCTCAAGTAAGCCAACATTCCATAATAACTCAACACAGTTTTATCAAAGCATGTTTTCAATGGTTTTTTTTTTTTTTTTTTTGGTTAATCAGGAATTTTCTGGTTACTACAACTATACAATCAATCATCCTCCATTGCCACAACCTTCTGCTCCGAGACGTTTTGCCTCTCAAAACAATCAATTCGTCTTCTCGTCACCCTCTCAAACAAGGTAATTCTTAATTTTCCTACATTGTACTTGTTCATTGATTTTTTTTTCTTTTTTTTTTTTTTGATGATTTTATCATTTTTTTTTTTTTTTTTGTTGTTTTTTTTTTTTTTTTTTTTTTTTTTTTTTTTTTGCAGTGATGTTGATCAAGGACACTCCAACGGTAATATTCAACAAATTTAAGCCAGTCCTTTGGATTATATTCAGGATTTTTTTTTTTTTTACTGGCCTAATCCCTGTTGCTTCTATATCCCAGCAAGCTTAATGAGTTATCGAAACAATTTGGCTGCCATTATCGCTTCGATAGTGCGTCAGAGACGAAATATAAATTCCGGCTATGTTTCCCCGGCCGGTTCTGGTATTTTCAATGCCGATCATGTTTCTAGACCATCTCAGGTATAAGAAAGTGGACTTGATTCAAAGTTGTAAGATAAGTTGTAGGCTTTGGCTTAACGATTTTGGATTTCTTGGAAGTCAAGTTACATAACTAAGGTTATAATACTGCCTAGTCATGTCCTATATCTCTGCTAATGTTTGAATCATATGATGAGAATTAGGATGAGAATTTTAGGAAAACGTGAAAGGGTCTGTAAAAGTGCAAACGTGGTTTCTAGAGTGTTGTGCGAAAATTTGAAACAATTTCAACCCCAACTGATCAGTCAATCATATAAACCATATTCATTATTTCTAGCCTTTGCTTGATTAATTAAGAACAACCTTTTCTTCTCGCATAATGCTTTTGTTTTGCTAACTATTCTTGTCTAATCCTTTGTTTTGCTAAATGGGCTTTTGAGAAATACTTTAGCTATCTGTGTGAAGTGCTAATAGTTAAAAAAAAAAAAGAAAAAAAAAAGAGGAAATTTCTGAACTTCTCATGTTTCTTATTTCTTTAATTTCTTTTTTAAATGCAGCAAACCCACCAGTACCATCATGGTGCACGCAGATGTCTCCCATTTGGAACCATGCCGGTTCACGAGGGGTCTACTTTAAATATTGGACAGATTCCTAGCGGTCTGTCACACAATAACAGCAACATAGGAGCTTCTGCTAACTTCACAACTTTGAATAGTATGGTTCCATATTACCCTGCAACAAATTCCTCCACGAATCAGCCAGCAGCCAACCCTATCCAGTATATCTTTAAAACACTTAGCAACTCTTTATATCAGTCAGATCCACTTATAATGGTGGAAAAATCTTTTAATCTTGTCTTTCATGCATTTTTGGTATTGACTTGCACCTAAATATCATTGGCAGAACCGTGTCCTCGAGCCCAGACATGTTCACCAGCAGGACATTAGGGATGTGTCAGAATTCACAAGAAAGGAATCTTGCACGTGAAAGCAAAATTGATTTAGCAAGAAACTCAGTTACTAGTTCGGCTTTAGCTGTGGCTGGGGAAACTTGTTCTCTTCCAAACAATGATCCTTCCGAAAGTCGAGCTATCATCAAAGCAAGTTCTGGACCTTCTACTTCTATCGACAGAGATGTGCCTCTCTCTAGTCCTATGCAAGTGACACATATTGAACAACAGATTGCGACCGGAAGTATATCTTCTCCGGTGCACACTAACGAGGTTGAGGAGTTAAATCAAAGGAAAAGGTAGGTTACTACATAAACTAGTAAATGTGTAAATACTTTGACAGTTTACTTCCCTTTGATGTGGCTTTGTGTTTGAAATGCATCCAGGCAAAAGGCTTCAAACGGGCATGTAAAAGGCAAAGGCTGCAGTTGTAGAAAGTCCAATTGCTTGAAACTGTAAGTCATTGGAAGACATCATTAGAACGCATCTGCCATTTGTTCTGGTGTTGGATTTTGATTGTCTTTTCTTGTACAACAAGTTAAAAGGCAATGCAGAAAGCTGATTGAGAGACAGGACAGTTTGATATGAAAATATGTAAAGCTTTTCTGCCAGACCCATTTTTATGGCCAATAAGATTTAAAGAAGTTACACATAACAAAAATAAATACTCTATTTAAAGTATCATTATATTTTTGTATTCACAACAATCTGTTCGTCCTCTTTGGCAGCTATTGTGAGTGCTTTAAGGCGAAAGGTCATTGTTCGGATTCCTGCACATGCAAAAGCTGCCAAAATGATCTTGCTCACGAGGAAATAGTTCGCATTAGACGAGAAAAGATTGAATCTCAAAATCCACTTGCCTTTGCTCCAAAATTCACTAACGAGAGCACTGCCACTCCAGCCAATACTATGGTAATCTCTCAAAAGAAATATTATTTAAATATGTTGTTTCTTTACTTATACTGTAATATTGCTACATGGAAGTAATTTGTTGGCTGACACACTATGCAGGAAGACGGGACTGTGATGACCCCAAGCTCAGCATGGCACAGAAAAGGCTGCAATTGCAAGAAGTCAAAGTGTGCTAAAAACTATTGTGAATGCTTCCAGGTAAAAATTTATCAATGCTTTTTATCCGAAATGTTGAAAAACAAATTTTATACTCTTTTGTTATAAGATAACTAGCATACTAGATGCTGCTTGGAACTCTCAAATGTGCTAGTAATGAACAACAATTTTCTCTGATTGGATACAATTTGTCTCATTTGAAGGCTAATTTTGGATGTTCATTCAATTGCCGGTGCGACGGTTGCCATAATTCTTTTGGCAAGAAAGCTGGTAAGACTCCTGGCTCTAGCTTTGTATTATTTAATTCCTCAATGGCACTATAATTGAAAATTAAAATCCAAACCAAATCAAAAATTTGGATTCAAGTATAGCATTTAGGTATTATTTGCTCATGAATATTAAGAAGAGTGGTTACACATTTATATTGGTGAATGGATTGACTGAACTTCATATATGTCCCTTCTTTTTTCACACACTTACGTTATTGCAATGTTGCCCTTTACAGGAATGATGAACACGAGAGCAGAAATTTTGGACGTGCCCTCTAATGGAAATATAGGGTTAATGAGTAGAATTGATTGCACCAACTCTGGAGCTGGAAACACCAATCAGTTTCCAACAAGGGAAGGTTATCATGACATGAGAAATTATACCCCATACTTGCAGCCTTCTTCCATTCCATTGCCTTCTTCAAACATGCCAAGTTCCTTATGGAATTCTGCAAGACACTCTCAGCCGTCGGCTGCGTGTTTGCCTCACTGGAATTCTTCACCTGGTGGTCTTAATACCCCACAGATATTGGAGAATGGGGCTTCCTTCAGTCACTACGGTTTAGTTCAAGATGAGATGGTTGGCAATGAGATTAAGGCCGAGGAAACTTCTCAGCCAAGCAATGCAGTGCAAGCTAGCTCACCAAACCAGAACACTGTACAATTGCTTGTGCGGGTAGTTCAAGACACGGTGGTTGGCATCGAGATTAAGCCTGAGGAAACTTCTCAGCCAAGCAATGAAGTGCAAGCTAGCTCACCAAACCAGAAGCTTCTACTATTGCCTCCGGGGTTAGAAGCTGATGGGCCGATTTCAGTTGCAAGCTTGCAGCCAGGCTTGAGACCTGACCGCGAGCTCTTGTCGTGGAATGTCCTTTCTTCCCCTTCTCATTTGCCATCATAAGGCCACCTACAGATGGTGTTTATCAAAATGGGAGGTGGTTTATGTTCTTTTGCGTTCCTAGTTTTGAAAAAAAAAAAACAAAAAAGTGGCCACTTGTAGGACTTTACCTCGCAAGAATGATGTCATTGGTGAGAGGTCAAATGTATATGATCACCTACATTTTTTGCAGGCTTCCTTATGGTTCTTCGTCAGTTTAGTTATCTGGTTTTTTTTTTTATTTTTTTATTTTTTTATTAAAGAAATGAGTTAAGAGACCTTTGTCAATCAATTTCATTTTCATTCAATTCTTGGGTTTCTTTTTTTATTTATTTATTTTTATATATAGAAATGTTGAGTCATAATCCCAACCCAGAATCGTATTTGCTTTAGAAGGGCCTCAATTTGAGAAGGCATCAAAGTCTAGGATGCATGGTGCCTGGCGTATTATTTCTGCATTTACATTCTTTAGTGATTTTGTAAATAAGCGAGGGACAGTCAGTTCTCTGTTTTCGGCTCCTCATGAGTAATACTTGTGTCACATTTTTTATATTGCTTTGTTTGCCAACAACAATTTTGATGATGAAAAACTAAAGAGTTTACTTGATCGACTTACTAATTGCACTAGTGGGATTAGTTAATAATAATAAAGAATTTAATGAAGATAATAAAAGCATCGGATGAAGAACAAGATAAAATAGACAATACATATTGAAGAATTGAACGTATATAAAAGATAACCGTAGTAGAGATAGAAACAAAATCTTAAAAGAGGGAAAAGAGATGACTAAGATGCCAAGTTCCCAATGGAATTCTGCAAGTCACTTTCAGCTGTCGGCTGCGTGTTCGCCTCACTGGAATTCTTCACCTGGTGGTCTTATTTCCCCACAGTAATTGGAGAATGGGGCTTCCATCAATCCCTATGGTTTAGTTCAAGACATGATGGTTGGCAATGAGATTAAGGCCGAGGAAACTTCTTACCCGAGCAATGCAGTGTTAGGTCCGTTTTTGTCGCTAGTGTCACAGAGAGTGTTATAACACTTTACTGTAAGACTGTTTTAACAGAAAATCTGAAATTAAACCAGCAAAACAGCAATGCAGGAAAGTAATGCAGAAACATAAAGGATACCAGAAAATGGTATCTCAGTTCGGTGCGCACACCTACTCTGCGGGGTCACGCCCAGACAGTGATCAATCCACTAAGTTCAAAAGATTACAAATGACCGAACAATCTTACACACTCAACGACTCCCTCCTTGACAATATCGCCGTTGCCTAGAATCTCCTTAGGAAGCTCGATCAGCGAGCATCACTCGACTTGACGGTTTCCTCCCGAAACCAAAGAAATCTTCTCCTGAAGAACCAACTCGAAAGTGTTCTAACAATTCGTCGCAACAAATCAAGCGACACTTAACATTACAATCTCATTCTCACATGAACAAATGCAACTTTTCTGTTTTCAGCCCTATGTCATAATACGTTATACATATCATCACACTAATTCACCTCTCCTATAGTCCGCAGATCACCAACCATCCATAGGTCAACAATAAAACCCCCAATAATGGTAATATCTCCTCCATTAATCACAGAATAAGGTCACCAGTCCCAAAACAGCAAGATGACCATAAATCCCCATAATTCTCATGATTCATTCCTTAAATGAACCAGCCATAATGCTCCAGTGAAGGTCAACCAAGTAAAATGAGCAGATGCCTATTTTAGAATGCATTACAACTAATATGCCAAAAATAAGCCAACACAAAATACACTAACAATCTCCCCCTTTGGCTATTTTTGGAAAAAAAAAAAAAGAACCTATTACAAGAGATAAAACCCAAGTAAGGAAATTAAGAGTTCTCTCACTTTTTGACAAATACAGCCAAAGTGAAAAAGAATACTAATAGAATAACCTTTTAGAAGCTGGAAGCTGGTGTCGCAGAAAGTGTTGTAACACCAGATGGAACACTCGGTATAATACTTTCCTGCAAATCACATTCTAATTAATAGATTTCTGTAACTTGCTCCCCCTGAATTCTCTACGAGTCTTACTCCCCCTGAGTATGATATTATCCCATGCATATTGCTTTTAACACCTATCAAAAGCTTAGAGTGACCATTACCACAATACTCAGAGTTAGTAGTACATGTTTTAAAAAAATTATAAGCCTCATGACACATTAGAAGCTGATTGGGCTGATTTCAGTTGCAAGCTCGCAGCCAGGCTCGGGACCTGACCGCGAGCTCGTTTCCTCCTCTTTAGCCATCATAAGTCCACCTACGGATGGTGTTTAGCAAAATGAGACGTGGTCATGAAGCTATTAGCACCGCTGATCAAGCAATATAGGTGGCCACTTGAAGTAGGCCTTTATATTTTTCAGAAGTTTAATGCAGTGCAAGCTTCTTCTTCTTCTTTCAGAAGAATTTAGTGACTTTATTGACGTATCCTCATTCAATTCTTCCCAGATTCGTATCGTATTTCCTTTATTGATGTATCCCCATTCAATTCTTCCCAGATTCGTATTTCCTTCAGAAGGTGATCAGTTTGGCAAGGCTCTTATAAGTCTAGGATGTGTGGTGCCTGACATATTGTAATTTATTGACAAGGCTCTTATAAGTCTAGGATGTGTGGTGTCTGACATATTGTAATTTATTTCTGTTTAGTGATTTGTGGTGCCCATAGTGGGGGCTGAATTTGACGGCATTGACGAGTGCTTGAAGGTCATCCGTTGAAGCACAGCTCGCCGGCGAAGGTTTATGAAGAGTGACCGGCGGTTCTCGTCCACGGTGTTGTTAGAGTTAGCGGGACCTCTTTTTCTTAAGGGAGCTAATTTTTCTTCTACCAGATATATATATATATATATATATATATGTGGTGTGTGTGTGTGTGTCTGACGAGTTTCAATGATCACGTTTTCAGTATCACTTTATTTTTTTATTTTTTTATTTTTTGAAGAAATCTGTTAGTTTAAATGTATAAAAGACATTCATTGGTCACGGAAAGAGAAGTAACCGACTTCTTTACTTAAATAATCAGATTCTGTAAAAAGAAAAAAAAAACAAAACACACGCACACACACACACAAATATTTAGAATAAAAAATTATTGTTCACGAAAATTATACATTAATATATTAATATCACATCCTTCAAGTTTTCCGTCACTTGAATTACTTACAAATGTCCCAGCTTTAATATGACTTTATTCATTGAAGGTATGAGAGACAAAATCCAATATAGTTATGATCCTTTCTTTAACAAGTTTTATATTATTACATGCGAGTTTAATTTTTAAAAAAGGGGGAAAAAAAACTGAAAGTCAAATTTACTTATGTCTATTGGTATACATTTCCTCTTTTTAAGGGGCAAATATACATAATGCCCTTTTCAATAATAACTATTAATAAGGAATTGTGAAATGCAATTTCAGTTAAAACTTAACAGAAGGACTACAACTGTTTTTATCATAAGTTTTTTTTTGTTACTGTAACGATTAAAATTAATTTTTTTTTTTGTTTTTCAAATAGTTAATTATTTGGAGACAATCCTAAAAAAATAAAAAATAAAAAGATTGTTCTCAGAAAAAAAAAATTTACGAGATAATTTTGTTTTTCAAATAGTTAATTATTTGGAGACAATCCTAAAAAAATAAAAAAATAAAAAGATTGTTCTCAGAAAAAAAAAATTTACGAGATAATTTTGTGATTTGACTCAAAAACAAACAAATAAAACAGAAGAAGAAAAACACGTGCGAAAAAAGAGTAGAAAAGAGTAGGACTCTCCTGCTTGGAAAGTATTGCATGAGTTTTCTCCATTTCATGCTTGGTTCGTCGGCCATAACCATTCCTCCATAAACCTTTTCTGCGCCAAATCTTTCTTTCTTTCTTTCTTTCTTTCTTTCACGACTTCTTTCTTCTCAACAATATGGATTCTCCGCCGGAGCCAAATCGTCTCACACCGTCGCCGCCACCAACACCACCACGACCACCGTCATCTCAAGTAAGCCAACCCCATTAACTCTTGTTTCTCTCCTACAACACAGACTTTTATAAAAGCATATTTTCAATGGTTTCAATTTTTCTTTCTTTTTTCTTGTTAATCAGCAATCCCCCTGTTTCTTCTATTATGCAAGCAATCTTTCTCCGTTGCCGCAACATTATGTTCCAAGACATTTTGCCTCTCCAAACGATCAATTCGTCTTCTCATCATCCTCTCAAAGACGGTAATTCTTTATTTTTCTGAACTGTGTATCTCTTCATTAATTTCGTTTTTTCTTCTTCTTTAATGATTTTATCGTGTGTTCTTTGACAGTAGTGTTGATCAAGGAAATTACAACGATGATAGGCAAATTCAAGAAAACATCTCAGCCAGTCCTTTGTCTTATATTCGGCATTCTGATTCATATCGGATGAATCCCGGTTTCTCCTCTATCAGACCAGGCTTAATGAGTGATCGGCATAATTTGCCTAACCCTTCAATACTGCGTCAGAGAGGAAATGTAAATTCCGAAGATGTTTCGCCCTTAGAGTCTAGAAATTTCAATGCCCATCATGTTTCTAGACCATCTCAGGTATAGAAAAGTGGATTCGGTTCAAAGTTGCATCATAAATTGTAGGGTCTGGCATAAGAATTTCGGTTTTCTTGGAAGTCAAGTTACAGAATTATGGTTATGGTACTGCATATCCGTGTCCTAAATCTCTGCCTGTGTTTGAATCATATGATAAGAATTCGGATGAGAATTTTAGGAAAACATGAAAAAGGGTCTGCAAAAGTGCAAACGGGGTTGGTAGAGCGTTTCACGAAAATTTGGAACAATTTCAATCTTAACTGATTAAGCAATCCCAAATACCATATTCATTTCTAGCCTGTCTGGTTAATTAAGAACTACTTTAGTTTTCTTCTTGCAATAATTCTTTTGTTTTGCTAATCATTCTTTCCTAATCCTCAGTTTCGCTAAATGATCTTTGCAGTTGGGGTCTAGAATCATCAATGCTGATCATGTTTCTAGACCATATCACGTATGA